TCCATCCATCCATCCATCCATCCATCCATCCATCCATCCATCCATCCATCCATCCATCCATCCATCCATCCATCCATCCATCCATCCATCATTGGCTAAAGGCAATATTCTAAAACTGCATGAACGACCAAATAAGCAAATACTGTAAATATCACAGTAATGCAATTTTAAGTACTTCACAGTACATTACAATTACGTATGTTTGTAAATTGAATGGTGATACACTATTGTTGAATATCTTCACTATCTTGTCTAAACTTGACTGAAAAAAAAAAACTAAGAAAGAAACAAATGTGGGCAGCACGGTGGATCATTTGGTTGAGCAAGAAGGTCGCCAGTTCAAATCCTGGCTCGGGGACCTTTCTGGGTAGAGTTGGCATGTTCTCTGCGTGCATGCGTGGGTTCTCTCCAGGCACTCCGGCTTCCTCCCACAGACCAAAAACATGACTTAGGTTAATTGGTAACTTTACGTTGTCCCTAGGTGTGAGTGAGAGAGTGAATGGTTGTTTGTCTCGTTTGTCTCTATGTGTGGCCCTGTGATGGACCTGCGACCTGTCCAGGGTGTACCCCGCCCCTCGCACTGTGGCTGCTGGATATGGGCACCAGTGACCCACGTGACCCTGAAAGAAATAAGCGTGTACAGAATATGAATGGATGGAAGAAACAAATGTGATAATATTGACTGCTTTGCTCATTCACAGAAGCAGTAGATTGAACGTTGTTTCGAAATGTGTAGTTTTAGGTCTTGTTGGCACATTCACAGTTCAGGTATTATCGTTGGCAACAGGCAGCTTTTGTAGCCTCATTAGCAGAGGACGTTTCTTCTCTAATTAGTAAAATTGTTCTTTCGTTCTGGTGAATACTGATATCAGACTTAAGTTCAACTGAAAGGCATCTTATTACCACTTTATGCTAGTATGACTTAACATATAAGATGACCAACAGGTGCACCATCTTTCAGATTAAATTAGGTATTTGCTTAACAATTGTCAAGTATATGATCTCACAAGGGGAAAAAAATCTACATTGTTGTAACCAGACACACACTGTATTTGAGCAATATCTGTTTGTGCCTTAGGAGAAACRGAAGATTAGAGTTGTTAGCATACTCTACAAATCCATAGCCTCCAGGGACACCTGATATTTCAATCAGCCAATACACACAATGAGTCATGTTAATTGAATAGAAGCCTGCCCAGTTACTACACCGAACTGCCCTCTCATGTTTCATATACAGCTTTTTTAATTCATGAAAGACATCAACCAACCCGCTTTCCATTTACTATCTATGCTTGTAGGTTCGGCCGACAAGGTGGAGTTCAGGTTTTGTTTATTTTTTGTTTTTTGCCAAACAAAACCCCTTAACCTCAGTTCTTTCTTACCAAATCTCTTTTAGGACAAAGACAAACATCCATCCTAGCTACTAAGAGTTGTCAGAGATACACTTATGGACAGGAGGGACACACATGTGAGCACACAGAGTGCATTAGCATAGGTATCAGTTACCTGAATTCAATAGCTCGCCTGCTGCAGCAAGATTAACTATTCAGGGCAGGTGGTTAAAGGGCCTATTGTGTTTCTCCATTCTGTGCTACTGTCATGATTGGACAATGCATTTGTCTGGTTGGCAGCCCACTGCAAAAACAATGACAAGGGCAAAAGGCTAGAAGAGTACACACACATATAGGGTTTCTCTGTGTAAATCATTTGCATCTAAGCAAAATTAAACAAAACTGTAGGTGTATTGTGAGAGTATGCTAGTGCACTTGTTGAATTTGGGGGGTACAAAGGTGCATAAGCACAAACTGACCAGCACCTCCTGATATTTCCTTACAGTGTCTTCAAGGTCTTAGTCAAAGAAATAATTTCTACTCATTAAAATAGATAAAGGCAAGATTCAAATATGAAATGGCCTCATCCTAGGATCTTTCTGAATCACMATTTCTAAATGTAATCCCCAAAGACATGCAAATGAGAAAAATAAAGAAAAAGACTGGTGGTGGATAATTAGTCATATTAATCAGGATCTCAGCAGGCTCTTATAAATAGCAGCCTAACATTTAATGCTAAACACTTGTTCTGGCCCACCTCAATGGATTTGCAATAGTCGTGCAGACAACAACAACAGTGTTGGAGATTTATTTATTAGTTCATCTCGGCAGATCGTTTGTAAAACRAGAAGTTAACTCTCAGGTTAAGCTTAAACCTCTAAACGATTATGTGAGATAATCTTCAAATGAAGTGAATAATTGGTAGGAACGGCTGCATAAAATGCTTTTGAAAGCCTAATGGATGGTAATACTGGTTTTTTTGTATTATTTAATGGCTACATAGTGAGTCAAAACTATTTTAATTGAGGTTCTCTGTGTCCTATTTTTTTTAATCTAAACTGGTTATTTTTCTTTTTGTGTTTCCTCTATTCTGCATGTTGAATTAAACCTCCCTGATTGGATTACAAATGAGATGTTTGTTGCAGAAGTCTTTACTATTAGGTTAGATAAAAACTACTGTATCCCTATTCATGTATTTAATCATTTAGTGCTTTAGGTATTTTATTTGGAAATTGTACTATTGTTTTACCAGTAACATAAATACGTCTCAGTTTCTGCTTCATATTCACTATGGCTTTGTTAATTTCTCYACAGGTCTGTTCTACTGGAATCTGAGTACCAAACCATGGGTCAAAGAACTGGACCAACCACAATCATTAAGTGCTTGAATCCAGGAAGTCGTCTCAAAGAAACATCACAAAATGCAGCTCTAAATCACTGACAGAACACTCTCAGGATCACCTTCATCATAGCACTTTCGCCAATCCACTTTATGTGGAAACTGGATATTTTTTCCTTTTGTCTCTCTAAAGACTTGGCTGACAAGATTAGATTCCATTCATTATCAAAACTAGATCTGCCCCTGGAAAAAAATAATAAAGCAGATATTGCACCATTTCCTTAGACTCTGAAACTATTTTTGTGGAATATAACATTCAGCACATAAACCCTGGAGCTAAATCGTAATCAAATGTTATCACTTTGAGGATCTATTCCCAGTTCGAACCCTTCAGTAGACCTGCTGTTCTCTACAATGCATCCAAACGGCCTGGCTGGGCATTTTCTCATGCTTCTAAGTGCCATGCTGGGTCTAAGTGTAGGCTTGGAGTTTACTGGCTCAGAAGGTCAGTGGGCTCGGTATCTGCGATGGGACGCCAGCTCTCAAAGTGATCTGACATTTCAGTTCAAGACCTCAGAATCGGAAGGCCTGCTGCTCTACTTTGACGACGGTGGTTACTGCGACTTTCTGCTCCTCACTGTGTCCGAGGGTAGGCTGCAGCTTCGTGTCAGCATCGACTGTGCTGAGACCACCATTGCCTCTGATAAAATGGTCAATGACAGCCGCTGGCACTTTGCTGCCATCAACAGGCAGAATTTGTGGACTGGCTTAGCTGTGGACGGCCAGACTAAGAAAGGAGAAGTGCGGCCCCAGCGGCAGTTCATGAAGATCATTAGTGACCTCTTTCTGGGAGGGCTTCCAGGGGATATCCGCACGTCTGCCATCACCTTGCCTTCYGTTCGCGAGCTTCCGCCGTTCAAAGGAGTTATCACCAACCTCAGTTATGGGAGTAAATTACCCACGTTGATYAATAGCCAGAAAGTACGATTGGAGATGTTGGGCCTCTGCACTGAGAACCCCTGTGAGAATGGTGGGATCTGCTCACTGGCAGATGGAGAAACCTACTGTGACTGCTCCAAAACTGGATTTGTAGGTCGATACTGCACAGAAGGTAAGAAAGCTGGCTCCTGTGTTTTCTGTGTCGAGCACTGAATATTGATTAAAGGCTTTCTTAAAAACTTAATAAGGGTTTCCTTTCAATTGTTTTGAAAGAGCTGACCTAACCTAAGTTTGCTGTCTTGTKTCAGGTATACTGTTAAAATCCATCACATTAATCCCTTCCTCTGACCTTTTTTCACATGTAGTTTGTGAAAATCTCCTCTTGTTATTTGGCTTCAACATCAAATGTTTTTGGCTACGCCAAAAAAATCTCAACACAGGCCATTCAAATTTGACAGAATTCCAATAACTGCCTTGCTATTTTTATGTAATTTACTCCACACCAAAGTATTTTTCKGAAACTCCTTGAAGGATGTGGACTGGCTGCAGCGATGCCGTTACACATCAGCATTATTTACAGAGYCTACGAGCCGCTCGACTCCCTTGTGTTTGAAATATTTAATGCAGTTCTTGCAGGACAGAGAATCTGAATATTTCTTCACGGGCTGTTGCTCAGACAGCTAAGCAACTCTTCACATTTCATGTGGGAGTTAAATTGGAGGTGATGTGCTCAGCATTTCCTCTCCCTTCACAGTTATTACATTTGATGAGGCAGTGGTGGATACGGTAATAGCTGATGTGACTAAAATTACAACACTGAGTCTTCTTTCTTTCTTTTTTCCCCCCATTAAATATATTTAGATTTTTCAAGGTGCTGCAGAGACATAAAGGTACTGGTAAAGTTTGAATTAGAAACAAGTTCCTCTATTTTTTTTTTCACCTGTCCTTCTGAGCCAAGGCCATCTCTTCTTTAGGGAGTGTAATGAGATGCAACTCTTTGACAATATTCTGCCCTTTTCTTTCCCCACACTTTCAATACTCATGGCTTTCTTGTGGATACCCTCAAATAGCCCAATGACAGCGGTATAATGGACGAGTCATTTGCTGCTGGTGTTTTTCTTTGTTTCTAGCCCTCAGTTTTATCACTAGTGTACACAAAACTGCTTTCTATTTATTTATGACACCACTGCTGCTGATTTCAGAGATGCTTTATGTCAAAATGTGCATCCTTCAAAACCAAATACTACTTTTAGAGCAATGCCAGCTGACTCAAAGAACAACCTTCTTTTTTTCTTTGTTTTTGCAGTAGGTTGCACAAATGAAAGAGCTCACATTTTTCAGATTTAAAAGCAGTACCCAACTGTATTACTACTTTGTTTACATGCATTTTTTTCCCTTCATGGTTATGGGTTGTAGACAAYAACTTGGTGTGACCAGACCCATGTCAAATTTCCTCCATTGCTCACCCACTTCCTGTCTGCTAGGGTTAAATGTGATGCTGTTTTGCCTAAAAAAATCAGACGGATGCTCACTGCAGTGTTGTTTTTAACATATTTTAAACCATTTCTAATACAGTTAGGTATTAAAATTTGTATTTTAATAAATGTTTTCCTTATTTTTGTAACAAGCCTTTGCTGTGTGTGGTTTCCTAATACGACCCAACGCTTGCAGCTAAAATGCTGTTTGGAGTAAATCTCGAGCGCCTGCCCTTGGCGTTGTTCAGAGCAGCACGCAATGTGCTGGTTGCAGCGCAGCCAGGCGAACGGAGTGGACTTGACCTCTTTTTYGCTCCGTCCCATTTGCTCACTGTGTTGGAGAGTCTATAGAGAAGTAGTGGGTGGTCCATTTGTCTGAGCGCTGACKGGAGGGAAGTATGATATCTTAGTGTAAAAACAACACGGGTTCTTATGAGCGCAACTCAGCTTAGACAGAGAAAGCAGTCTGTCATTTTACAGCCTCGGGGCAAAGGAAGTGTGGGGAGTAAATTCACCACTGGCTTCTTGTACCCTAATTTGTCCCGGGAGGTTGTCCGTCAAACTCAAACCACCCGTTGTTGGCGTCTGTTAGTGCCCGTCTTTTTTCAGATGCAATCAAGCTGACATTTCTTCATTATCTTTCTCTGGTTTTCAAGGGTTAAAAGAGTAAAACGAAGAGTGCAGTTATGTTACTTCTCCAGCTCATCCGACGGCTGCTCTATTCTGCTTCCCCGCTAACTAATGTAGCTGATTGTTGATTATTCCACAAAGACTGGGAACTATAATTAGTGGGGATAATGAGAACAGAGATGGCTAATTTGCCTGGAAAATGTCTGCACAAACACCACCATCAGCTCAGATCAAACTGTGGGCAAATAAGACACAGTTCTAATACCATTACAACCACATGTCCACAAGTGGTAGGTACTTGTTGTTCAAGCAAAAATTGAGCATGCTGAACATTTTAGGGCTATTTAGAATGATGGTAGTCTAACATATGAGCAACTGCTCAGCGCACCTGTCTTCGTCTTTTGACTGTGATTACACTGTGCATTAATGAGCCACAAAAACAATCTGTCAGACTTGTGAATATTTAGGCTGCATTACAGCACAGTGCGGCCCCCTCGCAAACATTCACTGAAATGCAGTTGCATTCACAGCCTCGCACACAATTGGAKGTATTAACGCAGACAAAGCCCCCTGAGCTGCTCGTTAAAATGGGCAGATGGCTGAACGGAGCGAGCGGACCAAGCCTTGAAAGCATTCTGTCAGCCGTGCTCCTAATGGTAGCCCACCGGCTTGGAAGAGAATTGCAGGGAGTGAGCAGAATTAAAACCTGGGATAGGAAAAAGAAAACAGGTACAAAACGCCTGTTGGTGTCACTTAGCTCACCTTGAATTCATTATACAAACATGGAAAACATCCTTCAGTGTAAAGGGAACAATGACATTATTACACTCTAGACAGATGCCAAATAGGTATAGCCTGCAATTTTCTATGTCTCGAGATGCTCTCCTGTGTACTCACCGCATCCTATACATCAGCGTTATATTCCTATGATAATCCTACAGTGCATGCCCATTGCACCTTGGCCTGTCTGGCTACCTGGCATGACTCTCTTGAAACACATCAGAATACTGTGATTTTCTAGATTAGAAGATCACACCATACCACTAGGTTACTATCGCCACAGGTATCATGCCTGTGCTAGGTTGTTTCCGTATTCTGCGGAGCTTTCTTATATATGTGGGAGGTTTCTGAGCCTTTATTGTTTTCAGTCTTGATGCAAAGGAAGATATGTCAGGAGCATAAGATGACACAAGAGAAGGGGTATAGAACCGTTGATCTATATTACTGGATTGGACATCACGTGACTTATCGTGTGCTGTACAGGTGCCATTGCTATGCATTGAGTTTTGACTCAGGAACATCCATGAATGGTGGTAAAAGGGGGATGCAGCAGACATTCATGCAAGGAATATCAAAAAGTGATGCAATATTTTGCCATAAATTGTCAACACTTCAACAACAAGATCAAGRTTATCACATTTTACAGGTCATTAAAATAGTTTTTCATTTAAAAAATGTCGGAGATGCGGAAAGTAGGTCAGTTATGCTAGCTTGATTTTGACAACCTTATGTCGGGTAAACCATCGAAAAGACAAATTATTATATTTTTTATTAATATTGTTATTATGCTAGGATAACATTGTGAGAGGTAAATATAATGGACAACAGTAAAATTACCTTTACTACTACTAGGCTGAACTGTGTAGATATTACTRGTACTGATGTTCTGTCCAGTCAGCATATGGTATATCCTGTAGTTTGTGATTATACAGTATATCAGAGTAAAATACTCTGTAACTTTTTTCCTCCACCGTACATTGCATAAGCTGAGGTGGAGGGACCGACTGCATTTATTTTATGACCAGCTGGAGGAATTTGTCTTTAGTCACTGCAGTGCGAATGAAGAACCAGGAAACAAATGCAAAATTCGAATTATTTATATATAACACACATGACTCTAAGTTTTATGTGATGGAAAGGGGCTTCTACTGTAAATACGTTAGCAAAAACCTATAATGAAAAGTTCCCAGACTGCTTATAGATTTATCTCTTGAGCAAATACATACTTTTCACATATCACGACATCGACAATTTTCTCAGCTTTAATTTAAGCCTTATTTTATAGAAATCAGATAAGAAATGAGGGTACTATGAGTATTTTTGTGACAGATTGACGCGCATCTTGCATTGAAACTCTACTGTTTTGTTGACATGACTCAATGCATAGCAATGGCTCCTATGACGGTGCGTCGCTAGCTATAGCGTCTATAGGCGATGTCCAATCCAGTAAAATAGAACCTTCATCACATCAACCCTTCTTCCTTGAYCAGCAGTCATGACCATGATGAGAAAATGTGCTTTTGACTTTGCCTCTTAAAGGCTAAAGAGGACATCTGAGCATATAATGGTATATACGTATTGGTGCCTTGAAAGACTGAATTGGTCTTTGCAATTGCATGCTGAGAGCGTAGTGTGATCCTATTGACTGTGGCTGGAGTGGAAGCGTATCAGCAATGCCACCAATAGTTTTGCAATAACTTGCTTGGATCACCGCTGGCTCTCTGTTGTCATGATGAGGCAATACCATAACTATGCTGCCATCACCCTTCACCCAAGTCTCTGATACCCTGCTAATCATGATATGCATACATATGTATACATACTAAAAAGATCAGCACCCGAGAAAATCTTGCTAAGACCCTGCAAAGATCATTTTGACTCATAGCAGAGTCACCATTCATTGTAAAGGGGACCTTATTGCCTTCACAAACCTTTCAAATGGTCAGTCTCTCTTCTGATGTGGGTCAGGAAATTTCTGTAAGAGTAAAAATTAACCTAGCTAACGCTCAGTCTTTTTGACTTCTGTAAAGAAATCCAAAGCTTTTTAAACATTTTGTTTTCTCGTGACATAATTTCTCATTTTATCCAATCATCTTTAACTAAAACTTTGGCTGTTATTTGCTGTATAAATACCAAGACTGCTCATGAAAATGATCTGGAGGATCAGTTAACTCAGCATTGGTGACATTTTGAAGTCTGAATGCTTTCAGGCTTTTCCATTACATTAGGAGTTGCAGAAGGTCAGCTTTGTTTAATGAATATGCAAAACGGTCCTCGGTTTGTCTTTGAAATCCCAACCTTCTGCATTTGAAATGAACACGCACACAGTGACTTGACAAAAAGGTTTGCAAATTGAAGGCCAGAACAAGCAAACTGTTAAACAAGTGCTGAAATTGTGCCTCCGGGCTTAGCTCTGGGGATTAATAAACAGACATGGAAAAAATGACAGTTGCAATAATCTTACTACAAAAGTAGGTCAGGGAGGGAAAAAATGGTGCAGGGACTTGCCTGATTTCAGTGCAGAGGGCATTTGTGTGTGCAGTGCCCAAGCAGAAAATTATGTTTGGATTTGAGTGCTGAAGCTGCTGGTAAAATAGAACAGGGGATTACGCTTAGACCACATGTCTACTGCAGCACATCGGCTTGTTCTGAGTGCTGTTGCATCAAGACAAAGGGTTTAATCTACATTGGAACCTAAGCAATTTAACAAGCATGCAGACTACGCACATTATGAGTGCAAGCGTTTGCACTGTCAAAAAAAAAGAGAACATGTACCTGCTGATGCAGGCAAATAAATTGAGTGGTTTCAAGCCTCCAGTTCTTGAGAGCCGGAACTGCTGTCCATCACCTGGCCACTATCTCACAGCTCCCCACTCTTCCACAGTTTTGACCTTCCTTTCTTTCCACCAATGTCATCCTTCTTATGTGGGAGGAGAAATCACACTCATTTTAAATTCCCTAAAGGAGACAGGAGCAAACCTTGCCCTCAGCAGCCGCTGCTAAACATTTTATCAGCCCATCCCACCTCTCGAAAGATATTTGTTCTGTTGAGTTTGTTAAATCTAACTTTAAACGTTAACCCAATAGTGTCAAAGAGAGAGACAGAATAAATGTGATAAATCTCTTTCTATATCTGGTGATGGGAAACAGGCCAGTTGTCTCTGCAGCCTGGGCAGAGAACAAGTCACCTCACCAAGTCAAATCATTGACTTCTTTCTGTTTAGTTGAGCTAAAATATCTGACATAGTTTGTGTTATTACGATTAAGAATTGATTTTCCTATGATTCTCTTTAAAGGCATTGTATAAAACTGGGTGTTGAGACCCAAGATTTATATAGAATGTAAAGACATAGCCAAGAGGTCTTCAGTTTGATGGGTTTTTGATTGCATAGCTGCTGTAACGCCAACTCCAAGTCTGAGGCTACGCTTCGTTAAAAAGGCAAAGGGTGGATTTCAAACTCCTATGGAACAATCCATTGCCACATGTAGATGAGTTCAAGTACCCACAAGTCTTGTCTGTGTGCAGGGGTAGAACAAAGAGGAAAATTGGTGAGGGGATTGGGATAGCTGATGTGGTTACTGTCGTTACGACTCCTGTCCGTKAACAGAATGAAGAATTAATCTAACAAGCTARAACTAGAATTGCTGCTTCTTTGCACCGAAAGATGCCAGTTGAGGTGGGTTTGGACATTTTGTTACAATTATTTTTAGATCCCTTCCAAGAGAGGTGTCTCAGACACATCAACCAGGACAGAGCTTATTTCTCAACTGGGATAGAAATGCCTTGGATTACCCCCTGATAAACTGAGCAGGTAGCTGAAGAGAGATCGGTCTGGGGATCTGTCAGGTGTTTCTCCCATAACCCAGCCTTGTATCAAAGGCAGAACATAGATGGGGTTAAAGACACAGTGTGTAGGATTTTGTCAAATTTTTTAGCCGAAATTGAGATAATCACTAACGATAATAATAAAAAAACATGTCTAATCATTGCAGACAAAGACCTTGTTTTATTATTTTTACCTCATAAAAAGCTGTTTATATTTCCATGGTCGCGGGTCGCCACTACAGGCAGCCGCCATCTTGCACCGCCATCTTGTCTACGAAGGCTCATGAAGGACAAACTGCGGTGGCAGCGTCAAAAACTTTTTTAGTTGTAATACTATAAATGCAATATTTGTTGTCTGTCATTGTAGCTGGGATAATTTTACTTATTAAAGCTCATAATCTTACCACTTGAAACATCACTAGCCCTGAAGCTGCTGGTAGACATCGAGGTTGGAATTATCAAAGGTTTTTGACACCTGAGAGACACCGTAGCAACGCCTTTGCATTTGGAAGCGGGGGGTGGGGGTGGAGGGAGGACCAGGGAGGATGATTCAACCACTCAACTACTAGATGTCGCTGAAAACAGCAAATCCTACACACTGTGCCTTTAAGAGCTTGTATTGCATATCATATAAATTAGAAAAACTATCCCTGGTTGATTGGTGAGAACAACTTCAGTCAAATTACCTCACTGTTTTGCACCTTTTGTTACTAGGAGGTCTTTTAGAGTCTTCACCGATGCAGCTTAAATTGGCACTAGCTTATTGGTTAACCATCATTCCCTCTGGCTTTTATAGGGGTTCTTAAAATACTCACTTTAGCATTTTTGTTTTTAAAGTTTCTTTTTAGTGCCAAGATCTCAGTGAGCCAGAACCAATCAACTTTTTTGGTCATCTCTTAGTTTTAGTTTTACATCCTAGTTTGGCTATTGAGAGTTAATTATCTTGGTGTTTCATTTGTAAATAGTTAATGCTAACATTTCTGCTGAGTACCACTAAAAAGATCCTGATCACCCATGGTACTTGTACCAAAATTTGGTAACCATATAATTAGAGTATAAAAACTTCCTGAGCTCATTTAGTTATCTCTTCCTTTAAACAYGCTGGCAATTATGACCCAGGTTAGCATTTTGTTCACAAGCAATGAAGCCCAACATGTGGCTATTATCTTTAATGACCAAACTGTATTTTAAACATCGCCATCAACCGAACAGTGTGCATTCGTCTGAGAAACATAACAGAACGCCCTCATTTAAGGTGTTCAAAAACAAACAAAAAAGGTGGAGGAAAAATAGCATGGGTCTGACAATAAACATCTTGAGATCCACAAACCTCTCAACTCCTTAAATCCTCAGGGTTGTGGATTTATGCTTCTCCTTTCATGTTGTGAGGAAACCTGTGTGATCCAAGATGTGAAATGTTAATGTTACTTTGCAACAGTCAAAATGTTAAAATTATTCTTCGCTAAAGGACAATCGTCAATCTGACTCCCTGAGAGGACGGGACAGATGAAGTGTTTGGCGTTTTATTTTTACTTATTAAATTAAAGTAGCATTTTATTATATTTTTTTYAAGCATGTCAAGGCGCATATCCTTGCTCCTTACATGACACAACAATTCAAAGCGTGATTTGTTTTGCATGTTAGAGCCACATGCAAACACAACTGTAGAGTGTTGCTAATGCCATGCTTTTCTCTGCTTTTCCCTCTCTTTTTGTTCCTGTGACAACTCCACAACAGTCAAGAGAAAACCAGGTGAGTCTCAAGAGTATTTAGTCAGAACTTCAGTGAAATTTTAGAACCACGTCGTGTTGGGTTAGTTATTCATAATGCAAGAAAAATATACCTGTTATCACATGACAACAGTTCTAAAGGTCAAGTATGCAGTAAAAATATCAACAGCTACTTTTGCTCTTATTAGTCATTTCTATTTTCAGTATATAAAGCTTTCAGATGRTTTTTTTTGGAAAGCTTTGATTTTAGTGTGATAGTCATGGTTTGCCATCATGCAAAGCATGCATAGTGACAATACAAGTGTAGTATTGGTGTGTTGTTCTCACTTCTTTTTCTGCTCCTGTCTGATTTTCCTCTTGAAGAACTCGCACACCTGAAGGCAGAACAAGGTACTTTTCTCTCTCTCTCTCTCTCTCTCTTGTTCTCTGTTATTTTTGTGCACTAAACTCCCGGCATGGTTTTGGGGTGGAAATTTACACTGCGTGCCTCCTCTGCCCGTCCATACGTATTTGTTGGGCTGACTGCTCCCACCGCTGCTGCTGCAGAGAAGTGGGCGGGTGATTATGTGTGCATGGCTGCATGGCTTGTCCCGCATCACATGTTTTTCTCTCTTTGCCGTGTCTCCTTAGGCCTGCTTCGTCCAGGTTTCTTCGTGTTACATAACTGTGCACTAGTCTCAACTCCATAGCAAACATGTAATGACATTGTCTGCTGTTTGGACTGGGTGGGGAAAAAAWTTTCAGGGGTTTAGAGAGACCTTTTACATGCAGCTGGGGTATTGGTGTTAGAAATGATTAAAGTGAAGAGGRCACATCATGGTTCAGTAGATAGTATAAGCCTACTAGTACTTCCATGAATTTACTTTATAATTAAACAACTGGCTGTGAACCATTGTTACAAAATGGTGTCACTTGGCAACAAATCAGACTTCCACCTGAAACCTTTTGTAATAAAAGTCCATGTTGGGCTTCTGCCAATTAAAGCTTAGAATATATACTGTTAAACCAAAATGTATGCATTTCCATGTGGATGTGGTATTGTATAATGGTGGATAAGTCTCCTAATGAATCTGTGTTTTTTTTTAAATTGTTTAATTTTTATTTTGGTCAACGTGTTTTTCATTCACAAAAATACAGCAATTACTCCTTATCTTAAATGCATGTAAAATAAATTTAACAACTAATAAGGCCTTAGAAGAGCTTTATTGCTTATATAACAAAATTGTGGGCTACAATACACTGGTTGTGGCAACTGCTGTTCATTCTTCATTACTTCATTGTACTACTTGGTAATTTAGTAGAAAKGCATGGCAGAAAGACAATTTCTTTCTAAAAAGGGGCCATTTTCAGCTGATTAAAATCAGTCAGCCTATTATTTGATCTATGTCTGTTCCAACTGTAAACTTAGGCTAAATTGTTTATTTTTGTTTCACAGTTAAGTCATTTAAAATATSTTTAGATAATAAATTGTCATATTTATGGATTATCAACAAAAAGCTCTAACAAATAAACCATCTACATAAATCAATCAGTGTTTGTCCTGATTTCTAAAAGTCAGTCTCAGCCACAGAAAAGCCTTGATCAGTCGACTTCTAAGATTAAAATTTTGTGAACCAACAAGTAGATTAAGAACCACAGTATTTATATCTTACCAGTAGTAGATGACTGTTTGAACAGCCTCAGTTTTGAATAGTGTTTCATTCCGATCAAACTGATGAGCCATTTGTTAGTCTTAGCAGGGTCAGGACTGAAAGTGCGTTGCTGTCGTCTAATCTTAAACATTTCTTAGTGAAGAATGAGCAATATTTTATAAATATTTTAYACATTTTTACATCACTCTCAACTCTCAATCGTTTCATAGAAATATAATAATACTCCTGACAAAGTGTTGCAAACAAACCCAGACGTGCTACAGCTTCGCTTCTCAATCATGGTAAACAACCTGCAACTTAACTCCAGAGGACCTGACTCAGCGTTTTTTTCATGAATAAAAAMAAACTRCATTTCTTCAAACTGATTTTAAAAAAGAACACAGCAGGTAAGATAATAATATTTCACAACCTTTACACTGAACTCTTACTTATAAAGAAGGCACTATTGCGTCAAGTATTACCCAGTTCTTAAATACATCGTATGCTTTCCTAAGACTTCCATTGTGCCGTGTTCATGCACACTTGTCCCACTTTTCTACCATTTTGCACGATTGTCAACATTTTTGCACGCATCTGTCATTTGGTAGTGTACAGGATTATTGTAGATCAACCATATTTTAATCTCACGTTTTGCTGTCTGTCTTTGTGCTCTTCCTGGGATGACTCCCTTCCTACTTTCATCTCCACGGATCCTTTCTCCAAAATCTGTAGGTAGAAGCAAAGGTACAGCAATCGTTTTTCCCCTTTTTTGTACTCACATCTAAGTTAAGAGCTTTGTGTGGGTGTGGGTGTATGTGTGTGTGATAGCATTCAGTATGTATGATGAATTTGTGCTCGCACTGGTTAATCATTTATAATGTCTTTTCATTAAATGCATTCATGAGCTAAGAAGGGGGTTTTTTTGCGAAAAAAGGAGTAAAATCAAAAAACTCTGTTTTCCACCTAATGAGGATTCACAGTTTCTGTTGCGCAAAGAATGAACTATTACATGGTGTTGTGATAAGATGTCAGAAACGCAGTGTCAAAACGAGAAAGTAGCTGATTTGCTCTCATGAATATCAAATCACAAAAATAAAAGATGAGAGTCAGTTCCGAGCTTGATTATTTAACAGCTTTATGTAGATAATATTTGTGGAATCTTCATGTTGTGTTATGTTAACATTTATTTCTTACGTCTTAAAAACTGCCTGCTTTTAAATTTGATCTGGCATTTGGGTTCATTGTAATCGGGCCTCTATGTGAACCTAATTGGATGCTTACAGTAGTTATGTGGTAATTTTGTTGTGGATAATTTATCACATGTATTTACATAGCTTGGTCTGTTAAAAGAAAGTTTTACAGTATTTATTGAACTGGCTGCAATAGTGCGTGAATCGTTTTATTTTTTTTTTCATTTTGCTCAACCTGCAAGCTAATGTTGCTAGCTTTGATATTTCAAAGGTCAACAAATATAATTTTGAATTACAAAGCAGCAGCAAATAATTTTTATTTTATTTTATTGCATTCTAAAGATACAGCTGTGTACATAATTAAAAAGAAAACCGAAACTCTCCCTCTGTTTGTGTTGTAATCTGAGCAGCTTTGTTCAGCGTTGTGGCAGCTGATCCGGTCATGCATACATGCTGATTTGAGTTTCTGTTGTGCAGGTCAGACTGAGTGGTTTTTCAGGTTTCTCTCTACTAAAATAAATCACGTCTTTTATCTAGAAGGCACCTCAAAAAAAACAAGTGGTAAGTCCATTGGTCAATACAGCCAAGGATTTTTTTTATTTTTTATTTCAATGGAATAATTTACCAACTGCTTGAGGACAGGGCAGTGAGGACAGTCCTGCTTTAAATTCTTAATGATCAATCCACACTAGTGTTTACAGGCTCCATATCATGGATACACTGCTGTGGTCACTTCCACCACTCTCCCTCACGCCCCACCCAAAAAGTCCACACATTGCAAACATAATGATAAACTGCAATAAAAAAAAACCCGACAAAGGTCATTTTTCTGGTAGATGTTTTAGGTCGAAGCAGATTGGTCCTCCACTATAACAAGGGCCTAATTAAGCTTACATTGGTTGAAAAAAAGCTTTCTTTTAAGAGGAGACTTTTATAGAAAAAAGATCCTATATATATAATTATCAGGTTATGGTGTCATACTTCACAAAATTATGTCTCTTTATACAGCAGTAACATTATTTCCTGTCAGTAGACAAACAGTATGGAGGGTGAAGGCAGGGCAGTGACCTTGATCATGATACTGGCTTAGAGCTGAACTTGTCTGTTAGTGTATTAAAGCTGTTGCCTGTGGGTAGGTTAAATGCTGCAGAGTAACTTAACCTGTGGGGAACTCTAAAGTATGACTGAATAGCTGTTAGCTTCTGGACTCCTGTCTGTGCGTGTTCTACATTTTCACCTTCTCTGACCCTCTGTTATCACCCAAATGGTGGTTGCTTTTTTCTTTACCAGCTAGTTGTTAGCCTTCCAGCTCTTGTAAGTTCTCCACTGGTTTTTAACACAACTGTGTTCTTTGAGTGTTATTATTCCTTTGTCTGGACATTTGTTTATAACAATGAGTGAACATGGCCTCGTCTGACTTCACCATCCTGCTTGGTTTTCTTTGGCTGTTATGATGTTTCATTTTAGTTCCAACTCCATCAGCTATTTATGTTAATGTTGACTGGCATTTCTCTTTGCTGCAAAAATACAGTAATTCTCCTCGCTGGCCTCTTGATACTTTTATCTACTTAACTTCAGCTTGCATCAATGTTAAAAATATTTCTCAGACTTCTGTGTTGTGCTCATACTGTCTGACCTGCAGTTCACCCCCTGRCAGCAACATCATCGCTTTAAACATGTACGACCTAATAACCTGTGTAGGGCTGCTTCGATTATTATTTTTTGATTAATCGATGAGTTGATTTGTCAACAATTATTTCTGTCACACRGTCCATATACACTTCCTGTGGGCGCACCTCCGATTCCAGCTCCAGCTCACATCTCATCTCACCTGCTCACACCTGAGAATGTCACCCTGAATGTGGCGTTGTATGTATGACGTTGTCCTTGTATGTCTTTGAGTGGGGGTGAGGATAARGGTGGGATGGTGCGATTGTGTATGTGTATGTTTGGGTATTTGTCAGGCTGCGGTCTGGGCTGCCCCTACTGCTGGTTTATCTGGGGGCCCGCTGCTACTCGGCCCCCCGGTGGGGTGTGCAGCTGGCCGCCAGCATGCTGGGGGTTCCCGGGGTCTAGGGCTGGGCGCTGGGGTGTGTGCCGGCCTGGTCTGGTGACAGCCTGCTTGGGCTTGGGGCCTCTGGACCTGTCGGGCTTTGGCCTGGAGGGGGTGCGCCCTGGGGGCCCGGACTTCTGTGCCCTTTCCTGGATCTGCTCTGGTATGGCGGGTGCCGGTGGGGCCCATGAGTTTGTCGCTGCTGGCCCCGGGGGCTGTGCTTGTGGTCGCTGGGGGGACTCTCCCAG